TCGCCAGCTCGATGTACTCACATTCTCGTTCTGAGCTTGGATAAGGTCTAGCAGGTAGGCGGTGTCTTTCCCCTTGCTTCTTGGCAGAAAGACCGTGATGGTTGTCCCTTTAGGGATGTTTTCTCCCCTCATTGCAACCAGTCCCGGCCCCTGCCAATTTTTAAGCTTAGGTGCCGTTTCCACCAACCAATCCGCCGATTTTTCAGATGCACAATCTATGAGGATCATGCCCACCCTAAAGTGTATCCCCGCAAAGCGCAGCTGACCCACACTTTGTGGATCGTTGCGTCGCAATCCGCTCGCTACTACTTCGTCCAGTATCGCCTCTTCTAGAGCCGTTTGCTGCTCGGTAGTCAGTACAACCTCAGGATATTCCTTTGGAAGCACCGCAATTTTCACTTGTCCAGCAATAGCGGCATAGCTAGTGATACGTCCCTGCTTGCCTCTCGGTGTGGGACGGCTTTCCATCCTGGCTTTTTTCTCTCCTTGACGGAGCAAAGGGGAGAGGTTTTCGCTCCCTCTCTTGCCCTTTGGTGGAGATGCGCCAGGTTGTTTCTTGGTTCCTTTTTCAAGGAGAGTTTTGGCTTTTGCTTCCTCCGGAGCAAGTCCTTCGTGGAGCAGCCGGAGGTATCTCCGTACTTGTGCTCCGCTAAGACCTACTCTCAGCGGATCGTCTAACCCGCCTGGTTGACCCAAGCCTGGTAGACGGAACGGTAACTGGTGTCGCTTGTTAGGTCTAGAGGTGGACTCCCGAACCTTACTAGAAGAGGTGATAGCTTGTGTACCACTTGTGGAGGCTGGCCTCGCACAAGTGTCAGCCGCCCCTCCTGTAGTTCCCTTTGGGATTGGTCCCTTGGAACTTTCGTTCATAATGTTCCCAGTGTTACTAGGGGGTTTCCCCACAGCTTCACCGGTGGTGTTTTTATGATAGTTTGATCTCATAGTGTTCCCACGAGTCGCTAGGGATAGTCAGTCCACTTCTACAGAGCCCCGCATGTAGAAGTAAGGGGTAAATACAATGGGGTGCCCCCTGATGCCCCAGGTTGAGACCAGTAATGGCTAGTCCTCTATCTAGCCACGCATCCCTTTGACCTGGCCCCGCCATCGTAGGATTTAGGTTTTGGTGAGGTTGTCTCCTCTTGGTCCAGGCGTTCAGCCAAGACCCCCCACACCCTCTACCCGCGAGACTTGACCACAGACAGTAGAAGGTGCCTGGTTTAAATGTCTTGGTGCAATTCCCTGGCCACTACAGCCAGAGACAAGACAATGAGTGAGATGCTTCTTGGACCGAGCCAAAGTGCTAGAAGAGATTCCGCCAGCACCTGACAAGGAGCTTCCCCACCAACGACAAGGTCTTGCATCTCCTAGGGGAAGCGCCGTACCTATATGTAGTGCGCCATCCTGTAGGTATACATAGGTACAAATTAAAAATATGAATTATTCAAAGATATTTAAACTCTAGTATTTAAAACTGAGTTTAAATATCTTTGGAATTATTTATACCGAGAAAAAAAACGTTCTTAAATATTTACCTACAATGTTTAAACTTAAACAATAAAAATATATACATAATGTACTATCCAATCCAATTGCAACTCCAAGTTTGTCTCAAACTTTTTATTTTTACTTCTATTATTTTTGTAACTTGGATCGGAAATCATATAGAATTTTGTGTATTTTAAATTTTTACAGCCTTAATTAGCTGCTCTGTGTTGGTTTTTTCCAAATTGCAATAAGAAAAAACACAAAATAACGGAAAATTCCTATCAGTTGGATCGCGATCACGCGATCAAACCCGACAAGTTGAATCTGATCGCCACCGCAGAATAGAACACCGCCAGGCCGCTTCGACTCCAAAACTCGATCGCGCCAATGTGAAACGGCTCATATGTATTCTTCAGCAACTTTTGGCCGCGGCCGCGTGGAGATCGTGATCGCGGCCGTGATCGCACCAATGTGCGTGTAGCTTTACGCGACGCTCCAAAGACCCATCTCAACTGTTTTCTAAGCCTACGGCTTACCGTAGTCTGTCCTTGTCACGTTCCCTCTCGTGTGTCGTGTTACGAGTTACGACCTTCAATTTTTATTTCTAGCGCGGGTAAGAAGTTTAATTCACTTCAGTAAGTAAAAAAGTTCGTAATAAATTTCATTTATGTCCTAAAATACGGAGAGAGATAATTTCGGAGAAACAGGATGTAGAAGTTTCATTTTTATATTGCCGTTTTTTCTTAATAATTTTTTATCTACAGTTGATATTTGGATGAGAATTGGTTTCTTTGTGTTCTGACATGAGAAATTTGATTTCGATGTCAATATGACTCCTACTTGTAGGAGGTTTGGTTTGAATTGGTGAAAAAATATACATTTACGTCAATTTTCCGTAAAAAAGGTCTCTTGTCAGCATCATCAACATTTAGTGATTAATTAATGCTTATTTTGATATCATCTTCATTATAGTTGTTTGCGATGTAGGAATTTTTCGGTTTTAACTGGAATTTGAGTTTGGATATAAATCACTATTATCCACACGGAATTGATTTCTGAAGTCATCGAGGTGTAGAATTGTTTCCTCGCACGTCGACTAAAGACAAATTTCTCAAGAATTCTCGATACAAAAACCCCCCTAGTGTGGAGAGATAGTTTATACCTTGTTTATACAAATTAATCAAAATCTTTTGTAAATGGATTTTTTTTTGAAATCCGTATGCAAATGAGAAACCTGCAATAAGTGGATTGTCCTATTGTTGCTGTACAGCAACAAAGAACAAAGAAAATAAACAATGCACCTATATCTTATTAGGAAATTAAAATTACAATTATATGCATATCTTTAAACATTGTTACTAATAATATGCAACAAGTTTTGAACTAACCTTGGTAATTACCTACACTTAATCAACGCGAATGCTAATTCTCAGTGCATTAAACATTTATATGAACGAAGAATTAGTATTTACTAAGAACATATCCTTTTTTTAAGGTGTAGACGCTACATTTTGGTGAGATACAATATACGAGTAGGGTGTCCCGATATTCCGTGGACAGAGTTCATCTGTTACGCCAATAATATTGCTGTAATAACAAAAAAAAGGAACAAAAAAATAAACGACCTCGACCTAATAGACTGTGGATGATACACTAAAAGATCATAGTCAGATGGATGCGTGAGCACAGACTGGAAATAGCTGTGGAACAAACAGGCGATTTCACTGAGCCGCAAGAGAAAAGTTGACCATATAAAGTTTAATTTTAAGGATATAAATCCAGTGAAGCAAGTCAACTATCTAGGATTCCATATAGACCGTGCACTCACGATGACCCTGCACATCAATGAGGTCTTTGAAATCACAACCGAACTGCTAAAGCGCTGTCCGCAATACTGCCAAACGTTCGGGGATCAACACCAGCAAAGAGAAGTGTTTGCATATGCGTGCCAGAATATTATGTATGGAGCACCTGTGTGGAATGAAGCAACCAATATGCACGTAAATAAAAAGACTTGAGGGTGCACAGAGAGTCATGGTCTGCTCGGCGTATCGGACAACTTTAACTGAAGCAGCCTTGGTGATATCGGGTCTGGTGCCCCTACAAAGGACGCCTCTTTCTCAAGGGTGAAGTACAAACCAGGGTAAGAAGAGAGATGAAGAGAAACCGCTCCGTGCAGCAGTGGCAGGCAGAATGGGATGTATCGCAAAAAGGAAGATGGACATATAAGCTCATCCCAAATATAAATATGTGTATTAAAAGAAAGCATGGAGAGGTAAACTTCTATCTTACTCAAATATTGAGTAGTCACGGGAATTTTGAAAGTTACCTGCGTACAATTGGAAAGAGGGAAGTCGCGGCATGCCGATACTGTGCTGAACCCAATGATACTCCAGAACATACAATATGTTTCTTTGTCCAAGATGGGAACAGGAAAGATGTGAGGCACGCATGACGATTGGTGGCAATATCTCCGCAGACACCTTAAAATCGGTAACAGAAAGAAGGGAAAACTTTGAAGCCATCTCAAGACTGGCCCAAAATATACTAGAGGCAAAATACAGCGAAGACTAGGTAATCAAACAAAAAGAACACTCCGGAGTCTACTTGAGGAGATGCGTCCAGCGGGTTCAGGTAGACGTGGCAGGAGCGAGGGGGTGATGTTTAGTAGGTAGTGTCCTCCAATCAGCTTACGGAGAGATTGAGTCCCACACTCCGCTATGATACTCCGTCCGTAAAGGCATTTTACACCTAAAAAAATTCCGTGGCCATAGAACTACTACGTATTTTTGGAATCAAAATAAGTTCATTGGACACAATTTACCTCATACAAAAGTGCTTCATTTGTTCGCTAGAGGGTATCAAACTTTAAAAAAATAAACACATTTTTCAAATATTTTAAGAACCGTTATTCCTATTTGAATGAGAAATTGGTTGTTTTGGTTTCGGTTGTCTTCTGTATGTTTTGCTAAATGCTCTAATATTTGGCTTTCACAAAAGTACGACGTAAAAAATTTAAAAAAAGTACGAGAAGGGTATTCTTTACGCCCTGGGCTACTCGAGAACGGTTCTGAAAGGACCTGTGCGCAATAGCCTCGTGCCTTCATATAGCGCGGAACAGTTCAGAACTTTATGACTCAATTGAATGGAGTGAAGAGTTTCGCGTTCTTGAACAGTTCAGAGCTGCACAACTGTGTGAATGGAGGACAGCAAATCTCCGATGGTAGCAGTACCGGCGGAGAATGCACCAAGCATATAACAGACCTAATAATCAGTGTGGCTTGTTATTTATATCATGTAAGAAATATTACATATGAAATACAACGGTGTCCAGTTGTCTTGGAGATGACGGTCGAGAACATTCCACCTATATTTCATATAAAATGACACCCTTGATTATAGATATGATATGACACCAATCTTCTTATAGCCATCCCTGACTCCATTTTTTTCGATCATATTGTATTTTTATTCGGAATATTTCATGAAATTTGATTAGTAGAAAAAATCAAGTATATTTTTAAGGTTTTTATTTTGAAAGTCATAAACTAAAACTATTCGTTCTCTTGGCTACGTAACCTGGCATGTCCATTTGTAACCCTTATGCTTAATTGTTGCGCTCTTTCTACAATTTCTTTACGTTTCTTTGCGGATACACCGTGGGCAATTTCTGCACAGTATTTTCTGTTTTGCATCATCAAAACCTCTAGTTCCTAGAAAAGAGAAAACAACAATATTAGCAAGTAAATTACAAAATTTTACAATATTTTTAGTATTCATTATAGAAATCAGCATAAAATATTTCAACATAAAATGTTTCAGGCGCAAATTACCTCAAATAACATCATAAAAGGCAAAAATCATTAAAGAACCCCCATATTGAATTTTAAAATAATATATACAGTACGTCTGTCCGTTCTGTAGCTACGGGGTATCCGTGAGAGGGGAAACGATATTTTCTCGATGTTTTTCGTAAAAAAATAGATCAATAAATCCATCAATAAAAATTCGATAAATTTGCAAATAGCCAATAAAATGAGTAGGCGGAGCGATTTGCGGTGACGTACTCGTCAAGTCGACGTATAAAATATATTGCTGTTTATTTAAATGTTTTTTGTCCGCATTCTTTTCATAGACACAGATCCAGCAGATGTACTGTACTGTATGTCCCCGGATTGTTTTCCAAAAGGAAAACTTTTTTATTATGGATATTTTGAGAGAAATTAATTATTAATAAAAATTTTTGCTTGTTCTAAAATGATTAGTCCCATTTACATTTTCCCAAATTTCCATATCGTTTTAGAAAAAAAATTAAAAAAAACATGAAAATATGGTTAATTTTTTTCCTAAAAATCAAAAGGTGTTTCTATGGTAATATAATTCCGATTTCGTTCTTTGATAGATGGTTATTATTAATTTTTATTAACGTCATATTCTTTGCTGTTGTTCAAGTATGAAATTTTCTGATTGTCCACTTTTTTATATTTTCCATTAATTAAAATATTTTAGCAAACAAAAATAAATTAATTATAAATATATAAGCAGTTATTATTATTTACATCAACAAAACTGACCTTCTTAGCACTTAAGCGACATGAAGCGTCATTACTACCGCTTTCCCCTTCCAAAATATTTTAATAGAGTTGCGATGAGTTTTTTACGGCTATTAAGCTTCAGTTCACACTAAAAGAGGTTCTAAAAAGAACAATATTCGATTGCAGACCTTGCAGTAAACATTTTCTTTAGTAACCATTTTTCAGCTTAAAGTATCACAACACTATTTATTTAAATCAAAAACGAGTAATACAAAACTAAAGTGTCAAAACGAATGACAATGTCAGGAAACAAATAAATAAATGAGGCAACTTGACATTTTTACAGCAGAGCTACCACCTGAATCCCCAGCACGAAATTTAAGTCCCAGTTAGTCAGCCCGGCGCCGAATATCTCCATGGTTGGCAAAAATGAATTTAAAAATCGCGCCCTCGATTAAGTAACTAAAAAAGTTTAATTGCAATGAAATATATTATGCTTCTTTAACATTTTAAAACAGCATAAATATAACGTTAATAATAAAAATCTATCAAAGAATGAAAACGAAATTATATTACCATAGAAACGCGTTTTGATTTTTTAGGACTTTTAGGAATAAATTCAACTATATTTTCATATATTTTTTAAATTTCTCTAAAACGGCATAGAAATTTGGAAAAGTATAAAAGGGATTAACCATTTTAGAACAAACAAAATTTTTTATGAAAAATGCAGTTTTTTCAAAATATCAATAATAAAAGTTTTTATCCTCTTGTAAAGACAATCCAGGTATATACTGTATGTTACAGCTAATATAGATACTTGACTAATTTTAAAACTAATCAGCAGTTTTGCAAACTAACTACAGGACGTCTATCCATTCTGTAGCTACGGGGCATCCGTAAGGGGGGAAACGATCGATTTTTCTCGTGAAAAATTAGACGACGCATGCCATCAATAAAAATTCGACAAATTTGCAAGTAGCCAATAAAACGAGTGGGCGGAGTGTTTTCTGCCGCTTCTATTTAGGTAGGGATTTACAAAATATATTGCTGTTTATTTAAATGTTTTTTGTCCGCATTCCTTTCATAGACACAGATCCAGTAGACGTGAAGTACGTCTACCCAACTACGCCTAACCAAACCAAAGACCAAAAACATTTAAATAAACAGCAATATATTTTATAAATCGCTACCTAAATAGAAGCGGGAGAGGGACTAGAGGGGAGTGGACTTGACGAGTATGTCACCGCAGAACACTCCGCCCACTCATTTCATTGGCTACTTGCAAATTTGTCGAATTTGTATTGATGGGACGCGTCGTCTAATTTTTTACGAGAAACATCGAGATAATACCGTTTCCCCCCTTACGGATACCCCGTAGCTACAGAACGGATAGAGGTACTATAAAATTGTTGATATTTTGAAGAAATCCGCCCAATTCTTCCAAAATAGCAGGTAACCAGCAGCTAGTTTACAATCTAACTTAGTGTCCAACTATTTGCAACATCTGTTTCTATTGTTAATATAGTTTATGGGTGGTTATACCCGGTGCGTCTCAAAAGTGACTTATCCCTATAACTTTTTTTATTTTTTCACATAAAAAAAACGATTTTTGGTACCTTAGTATATGACATAAATTAGGATTGACTGATGTATTCAGATGTTTTTGGTCCTTACTGCTTCACCGGAAATTACTACAACTTTTGATTTTTAATTAACACCCTCGGGATTTTTTACTTTATTCAATAGAAAATGACACTCTGAACAGAATGATGTATTGTATATCAACTTTTGATATTTTTGGATATGGTTTATTTGAAATTGAACACGCGGTTCATAAGGACAATTTCACTCGAAATACAAAGTGTGTGGTACCAAATTAATCATAAAAAAATGCTTTTTCCAAATAAGACAAAGACAATGAGATGATATACAAAATTGATATATGATTAAAAATACGATTTGGGCGTCTTTAAACCAACCAGGACAAGACACGAAAAACATTAGACAAATCTAATCAATTTTTCCAAGGCTCCTTGATTAAAAATTACTGTTTTTAACACAGCCATGGCACTCTAGATTGACATTTAAAATACGATTTTTTTAAGCAAAAATGTCAAAAGTTTCTTTTTTTCTATTCAGAATGTCTTCTATCAAATAGAGTAAAAAAATACCAAGGGTGCCATTTAAAAATCAAAAATTGTAGTCATTTCCGGTGAAACAGGAAGTGACCAAAAACAACTGAATACGTCAATCAATCCTATTTATGTCATATACTAACATACAAAATCTCGTTTTTTTGTCTGAAAATAATAAAAAAGTTACAGGGGTGAGCCACTTTTGAGAACATACATATTAAGATCAATTTACACAAAAATCACTTTGAAATGCCATATGATGATACATACACAGAACAGATACAAATCAGAAATTTCACTGATGGGATTTTCGTTGTCAAGATTTATTTTTTTATGTTATATGCGCGCAGAGGGATCAAAACCATGCGCAAGGTTTTTGTGAGGTTGCCAAGGTGACCCATAATTCTCAGTACTTGAAAAATGTATTTTTATATTATAATCCTACGGCTACATTTCTTCACTCATTTAGCATTTCTTTCACGAAATAAGTAACGCAAGTATACAAGAATTACCGAATATCCATAATTATGAGGAATTTGATATATTTGGAAAATTAAAGTATGCCTAAAAATTAACATTATTATTACGAAAAACGCGGCATGGCAACGTCCCTTGAGTGAAACATTTTGCGACGTAGTACGTAATGTAACAAAAATGTACCTCATTTTCTGTACAAAAAAGTTAAAAAATATCATTGAAATATTTAAACCAAAATAATTGAAATTGATTTTAGAATAAATAAAACCAACGGACATCGTCAATTTTGCACTCTATTTTGCTTTACTGCTAAATATAAAAAAATTATTACTGCAATGGTAATTAAAGATTCAGGAATTTCTTTGTTAAAATCTGACAACTGACAACGTTGCTCAACATTTCTAACCTAAAAATATGAATGCATATTGTCATATGAACGGGCGGAAAAGTAAATTAAAATAATTTTAATTTACTTTGTGGTGTGTTTGTGATATTTTGTGACTATATTTGTTTGACAATTTTGTTTATAATGGGCGTTGGTTACTGTTGTGTTCCCGGCTGTTTAAGCAATACGGAGGCTGACATGGGTCTTAGCTTCTTTTAATTCCCATTGGATCCAAAAAGGTACATTATTATTTTTTATCTACACAATAAGGAATGTTTCCTCTAGAATTTTAGACAATCTAGTTAGATTTTTTAGAAATTCTAATGTTTTTGACAGACTCATGTATGTATTACAATCATCTATTAAATAACGAAAAATATTTTAATAAATTCTAGATGTTCTGAGTGGGTTAAGAACTGAAACAGGCAGGATTTTAGAGCAAAATCACTTGTAGATTTGCATAGAGGGTATAGAGTTCGTGGAAAACACTTTCAACCTACCATGTTTGCAGGAATGTCTCAAAGACGTCTAAAGAAATTTGCTGTTCCAACTTTATTTATGTCAGGTAGGTTCATAAGCATTATTATTAATTCTACTTGTTATTTTTTTCAAATCATCAGTTGCTTGTTTATCTGCACAATCGATTCACTTGCATAAACGAACATTTAAATAAACAAAAATTGTTTATAGATAGGCACTTAGAAAATCCAGTTTCAGTCTGTTCGTGGTGGTTCTGTGTAATATTTTCAATATTTTTATGACAAATACTATATTCCTGAAAAACAAAAACTTTTGACAATAACATTTAGCTTTCAATTTTGCCTTTTGCCTGAAGTTGAGTAAAATACTATTTTTTTAACCTTTTAAACACAATGCAATAGGGTATAAAATTCTAGTTTTCAATAAATATTTTAATTTATGTTTTCAGCTGTTTCAGAATCTACTTCACCAGATGTAATTGCTATTCCATCAACATCCAAGGAAGTTACATCTGAAGGTGAGTAAAATACTATTACCTTTTAAACACAATGCTGAATATAAATCTGAACTGCCATACCAATATCGGGTATAGAATTCCAGTTTTTAATAAATATTTTTTTATGTTTTCAGCTGTTTCAGAATCTACTTCACCAGATGTAATCGCTATTCCATCAACATCCAAGGAAGTTACATCTGAAGTTGAGTAAAATACTTTGTAAGCACAAGGCTAAATACAGGGTGGCGCACCTCATTCGCCTCGGTTGATTATACGAAAACGTAAAGATATAGAAACAAAATATTTTATGGGTATATGTGGAAAGGCAATGTACTTAATTTAAAATTATTTTGAAATGTATAGGGTGTGTCAGAACTAAGATCCATACCAAAGTTATATTTTTTTCTTATGGAACACACGGTATTTTGATTCTTGAACATAAAATAAGGTATTTATTATAAGGGTTTAATATGTTTAAAAGCTTTGGTTTTTGAGATATTTAAAGACATTTAAATATGCATGTTATAATAACAAAGTTTGTCAACACCCTGCACATTCATTTTTAAGAGTTAATTCTTGTGCTGACTTTGAAGCCAGAGAAACAAACTTTACTAAAAAAATGTATTGCATCTTTAAATGTATACAGGGGTATCAAAAATTGCTGGTCTATTTTAAATATTTACTTTACATAAAAACTTCGTTATTTCAAATACAACACTATGTATTTATTAAAATAAGTCGAAGCAGATTTAAATGCTCTTTCAAACTATATTAGGCTTTCCTATACCTATCTGGCCCAGATTTTGAATAAAGAGCGACTTTTCAATAAAATGGCAATCATCATGACAATTTGCTAGTGACAGTTATAGTAGCTCTTTTCAAAATCGACATTAGTTTATGGACTTTATTTAAATTTATAACAGTTTATTTTTATTTAATTTACCTACAATAGTTACAAGTATTTATTATTTTATCAAGAAAAATAAAGTAGTAGTTCTTTGATTTACTGGTAGATATATTGGATTTTCTATAAAAGAGCCAATTAAGGCAAATTCATTTTCTTCACTTCCAACAACAGGTTTCTGCCTAGTAGGTTTCTACATCTTTCCGTTGTCGTACAATCAACTGAGGCGAATGAGGTGCGCCACCCTGTATAAATCTGTACTTCCATACTAATATAGGGTATAGAATTCCAGTTTTCAATAAATATTTTTTTTGGTAGTTTGTTTTTATTATATTTAGAGAAGATCAATATTTCAAATAGATAAATAATATTTTTTTATTTCTTTTTTGTATAGATTTTTAACAACAGACACCTACATCGCTTAGTGCAGACAGTCCAAGAAAACATGGGTTAAGGTTACAAATTAGAAGTTGGAAAAGAAAGTTGGAATTTCATCTGGAATATTCATTCATATTTTTTATAAATAATATTTATTTAAAACGGTAAAATAAAAGCAAAATGTGTTATTAAAACTAAATTTTTATCAATTTTACTTTATATAGATATGTTTCTAAATACGATAAATTCCTAAATAGAAATTTTCTTTACAATTTAGATATTTTTAATTAGCAAGTAAGTTTAGTTAGATCATAGATATTTATCTTTTCTTTTTTTTTAATTTTTCATTTGTATTAATACATTTTAGGATCATTTACATTTAAGTAATTGTATTAGATTTTGTACCTAATATCACATTGCTAGGATTATATGTATAATTTTTGCATATTTATAATAACAAATAAAATGTTATTTTATATCAGTCAAATTGTTTTTATTATGTTCTGTCTACATTTTCAAATGAAGGTTTGTATTGAAAAAATTTAAAATTGCTGAATCATAAAATCATGACAACGTCAAGCTTATAGTGGGACCCTGAAATTTACATAAACATAGTCCCAAACTGCAGTTAAAAGTCGCTTATTCCTATAAAAAATTCACTACAAATTAGGTTACTGCAGCAAAATCCTTATTACTTATTGCAAATCCTGCATTTTTTCATAGGCCCCTTTACACAAGTATAATATTAATACCTTACTACTGACATCTTATCCATTTCAATTTCCTTACCTAATTTTAATAAAATAGCATATTATCTAATAAATCAAGTTAGGATGCAAATATCTTGGTGTAGCAAAACCCGCAATATGCATCATACTGCAACAAAACCTGCAATATGTATCATACTGCCACAAAACCCGCCTTGTCCGAATTGTTTTTGTGATTTTTCTCTTTAAAAATTAAATATTAATTTTTATTTCTAGAAAAACGAGATACAAAACAATGACTCAACTCAATGAACACGTTTTTTTTGTAAAATAACGCTTTAAACATTTGAATCAATTTACATGATTTTTCATATTATTTTTACACATTATTTATTTTGTCACTACTAAATATTACTTATTTCAAATAAATACTGTTAAAAAAACGAAATACGCTCCTGTTACGATTCACAAGTATCTGAGTTTAACCCTGGCTCGTTTAAAGCCGTCAACTAACGATCAGCTGAGCGGCGCGCAGAGGGATGAAATCTGTACGCGACGAACGGAATTCTTACAACACACATGAAAGGCACCGACGTTCAGTGAAATTTCTGATTTGTATCTGTTCTGTGATACATATTCAAATATTTGTAATTTTCTCAACTGTTTGAACATATTGGGTATTTGGCAACATAAATATGTATAAAGTACTCACTTTAAGATTATGTACCAAAACCTTTCTGAATCCAGTAGGTAGCATATGACGTGTTTTTGCTGCAGAACCATAACCAATATTTGGCATCAAATATTGACCCTTGAAACGCCTCCTGACTCTGTTGTCAATACCCTTGGGTTTACGCCAGTTCCTCTATGATTAAAGGAAAATAAATATGTAATGGTTATGTCCGAAATTAGCTTATTTTTTAAGAAAAATTAATTTTCATAATATCACTTAGAATAAGCAGATATTTTGATAGTAACTTACCTTTAGTTTATGATATCGGTCGGACTGATGTCTAATGAACTTTTTAGTCCTTTTCTTTACGATTTCGGGCCTATAAACTGGTCTGATCGCCATACTTAACCTACAAGAAAAACATTACTTAAATATGTATGAAATAAACAGCATTTTTCAAAACTGGCTAGCATAAAAATGTATTCCAGTAAAGGGTTTTATTTGAGCATTAGAAACTTAGAAAATAACTTACGGATGGTTTAAATATTAAACGATTAAAAAAATTGTGTTTAATATTTACAAAAACACCATAGAAAAAGAAACGTCAAACGTCAGTCGTATGTCAAATTAATTGTCATATTTGACAATTACCTATCGTTTTTATTTACCACGGTATAAAAAGAGATAAGAATAAACTACGACAAGAATCTATGGTACCCACCTATACCCACAGATTCGAGACATATTTAGAAATGAGAATGTAATAAACATATATGACATTTATTATATATGATCTAAGGATGTAAGGTATTCTTTATTTTTAAATTAAATTTCAATTTTATGTTTCAACTTTAATATAAAACATTATCTTCGAATCTATAGCCATAGTCCTGGAATATTTTAAATATTAATTAAATTACCGAACTGTTAAAAAAAATGGTGTCAGACGGCTGGGGAATGACAAACAATGACAATTTTGGCGAGGTCAATCTCTATTACTAAAAGTCGACATAAAAATTAACACTGATTATAGAAAGATTAAAAAAGCATAAATTGTTTCAGGCACAGATCTATTTCCAAAAAAAATTGTTTTTCTCGAATTTTAAACCACCATTCAAAAATCATTTTTCATCATTATTAAAATAAAGAACAGCCTGATCAGCCGATTACATCGATTGTCATTCTCCAGACGTTTTCGACGCCGTTTTTTCGATGGTATTTATATTGAAATTGTTTAAACTTTATCCTTTATTATCAATTATTATATCTTCTTTTACTATTTATTACAGTTCGCCGTAATTAAAAAAGTTGCAATTGGTAAAAAAATAAATATTGTACAAAGATTCGCTTTAAAACTTCAACAAACTAAACATTATTTTTTATTATAATAAAAAATTACAGCTTTCTAGTAAATAAAATAGCAAATATGTTCTATATTTATAGGAAAAATAAAAATTACACCTAAATATATTTATAATTTAATCTTAAAATTAAAATTGTCTAGACAATTATTGGAAAAACTGAAAAATTCAATTTAATAATAAATAATTCAATCTTCAAAGTTATTCTGTCTTCATTTTTTCCAATAATTTCCAATTTCTTCAACTCTTAACATCATCCTTATCGTTATCCCTATCTCCATCGTAAAATTCGTTTTTAGCTTCCACCATTTTATCATCCAAATCTTGACTAATACGCACATCCGGATCTTCTTCCTCTTTTACTCGTGAACTTTCTGGAATGGCTGGACCGGGGACATTATGCATTTGGACACTCGGCGAGTGCTGGACCATTTTCAAATTGTCATAAACAAATCTAAAATAATTTCGTTAAATATGAGGGGTGTTTTTCAAAAGTGGCTTACAATCTATAACTTGGTTTCAGATAAAAAAAAAACTTGATTTGGTTTACCAATCTGGTCATCGTAAAAACGTGTTCTGGATTTTCCTGGATTTCTTGGAAACAAGCAAGATAACGATGTAGACAGTTTAATGGTAAATCAAATGTATTAAAAAAAGATAAAAGTTGGGTTGATACATTTCTCCACTTGTGCGGTTTGAAAAGTGTTGCATCTAGGGTTGGAACTTTATCTTTTACAATTAGTTACTCAATTTACTACAGCTGTAACAGATTATATTTAGCTTAGATATATTATCTTCATTTCAGTAGTATACATGAATGTTTTTAAAATAGTTTTTTTTTCTAAAGACGTAAAAACTGGCAACACTATATGCTGCTTTTTATTTTGACCTCTGTCAGCCGGTCATTTATATTTATCTTTATCGCATGCAATAAAATACAGACCACGCAGATGAAGCGCCCAGGATGGTATATGAATATGACATAAATCAGGATGGATTGACGTTTTCAATTTGTTTCGATCACTTCCTGTTTTACCGGAAATGAGTACAACTTTTAATTTTTAAATGGTACCATCAGCATATTTTTGCTTTGACAGAAAATGACATTCTGAATAGAACAACATATCATATGTCAACTTGTGACATGTTTGCTTAAAATATAATTGTATTTTAAATTACAATCTAGAGTGTCATGGCTGTGATAAAACCACTAATTTTTAATCAAGAAACATTGGAAAAATAGATTTGATCGTCTAATGTTTCTCTACGCTGTTCCTGGCCGGTTAAAAGATGCCCAAATCGTATTTTTAATAATAACTCAATTTTGTTAAATGGAACAAGAGTGGCTCGTTAGCATATTTGGAAAAAGCATTGTTATGAATAGTTTGGTACCACATAATGGCTATTTCAAGTCAAATTTTCGTTATGAATACAGCCATGACACTCTAGATTGATATTTAAAACATTAACTTCTTTAAGCATAAATGTCAAAAGTTGACATATGAGATGTCATTCTATTCAGAATGTCGTTTTTATCGAACAAAGGAAAAAAAATATCTGGGATACCATTTGAAAATCAAAAGCTGCAGTCATTTCCGAGTGATCTATGTCATATAAAAGATTTATGTCGTATACAAACATACCAACTCTTGTTTTATTATTTGAAAAAATAAAAATGTTATAGGAGCGTCACTTTCAAAAAACAGTCGGTAATATCGAGACTCACAATGCTAGAGAACTTAGGGTTTCCATGCAAGTTTTTTGGAAATTCTGGACTTTCCGGAAGCTCTGAAATCCAGACAAAATCTGGACTTCGCCGAAAAATAAATTATTGATTTATTTATGTACAGTTTGTCTAATGAAAGAGTAACGATAGAATAATCCAGACCTATGGAAACACTAAGGAAACTCAAATCTTACTTTGTAATGGCTTCCAAATATTGTTTATTGTTAAAATTATCCCTAGTCTTCGTTAATTCTGGATGTAAATTAAAATCTGGAGCAAACAGTTCGAAATATTCCGTATACGGTAGTTCGTTTGATATTTGCTCATCCACCAATAGAGATGTCTCGTATGTCCAACAACGAGCGACGTTTCTTAACGTATAACCACCTCCACCTACTACTAAAGTAGGTACGTTCAGACTTTTGACAAATTTCACGCATTCTCCGTGACCTTTTATGCTCAGCGAAAAACAGCCTAATCTATAGAAATAAAATTTGATTGTCAGTATTAAAATATTACCAAAGACATCTAAATAAAGGGAGAAAAAAACTATATTTGATATCAATTAAACTTTTAGTTACGTAATCGAGGGCGCGATTGTTGAATTCATTGTTGCCAACCGTGGACATATTAAGCACCGCGCTGACTAACTGGAATTTAAATTTCGCCCTGGGGACTCAGGTGGTAGCTCTGCTGTAAAAAATGTCACTTTGTCGCATTTATTTATTTATTTCCTGACACTGTCATTTGTTTTGGCACTTTAGTTTGGTATTACGAGTTTTTTGGTTTAAATAAATCGTGTTGTGATACTTTAAGCTTGAAAATAATTACTAGCAGCAGACCTTGCAGTCAAACATTGTTCTTTTTAGAACCACTTTTAGTGCGAATTGTACAAGATAGTGTAACTTTATTAAAATATTTTGAACGGGAAAGCGGTAGTAATGGCTCTTTATGCCCCTTAAGTGCTGATAAGGTGAGTTTTGTAGATGTAAATAATACCTGTTTATTTTGTTTCTTAAAATATTTTGATTAAAAGAAAAAATGTAAAAATCGACCGGTCAAACTAATCAGTTTATTTGGTATGAACTGTATTTACATTTTACCGCGATCAAACATCGTTTTGAATAAAAATCGATGATGACAAATTTCTGCGGATTACGTTAGATCTACGGCTTGAGTTTGAAAACGTATTTTTTATTTATATTTATATTATGTAGTTTTTTTGGGTATCTATAGAAATGGCGTACTAAATACATACAGTATTAGCCATAAGTGGATGAACTTTGTTAAAATAATGGGTTTTTCCTAATATGTTTAAAATTAAAATTTGAGCTATATTTACTTGAAGTCTAGTGTCAGTGCTATAAAAATAAATAGCATTGTTTTTTTAAAATGTGCTTTAATAAGGTAGCAAAAAATTTAAATTGAAAAAACTATTGGACAAAAGTAAATGAACAAAATATATATTTAATAAAAAAAAAATCTTATGTTAACAAAAACTGAAAAATTAACTTATAATTTACTAGTACTTAGTGTAATAACCCTTATTCTTAATTACTTTCAGACATCGCTTAGGCATGGATCCCAGAAGATTTTCAATTATAGAAAAATCGATATTTTTCCAAGACTCTTCCAAAGCTGCAAATAATTCTTGCTTATTTTTGTAGAATTTGGTCCTAATGTGTTGATCCAAAATTTCCCATAAATTTTCTATTGGATTCAGGTCTGGGGATTGCAATGGCCATTTGAGAACAGTCACCATTTCATCTTCCAAAAACCTTTTAACCAATTGTGAGGCATGTTTAGGGTCGTTATCATGTTGGAAGTAGTGTACAACTGGCATTTTTTCCTCCAAATAAGGCACTAAAAGGTTTTGTAAAATGTCGCTGTAGCCAAACCGATCCATTATGCCCTCAATTTTATGGAGAGGCCCCATCCCATACCCAGAAAAACACCCCCATACCATGATTGAGTCCCCACCATGTTTTACAGTGCGTGTACTTTGGTAGCAATCGTGTGTTGGGAGGTCTTCTTACATGTTGAATTCCATCTGATGACACCAAATTAAACTTTGATTCATCACTAAAACAAACTTTTTTCCATTGTGCCACAGTCCAGTTTTGATATTCCTTGGCAAATGCTAATCGGGCCTTCAAATTTTTTTTGATAGCAGTGGTTTCTTGGCGGGTCTTCGGGAAAACAACTTCTGGTCAACTAATTTACGTCGGATCGTCCTTGTACTCACTGGTGGATAGCCCATTTCTTCAAGTTTTGCTTTTATCTTCGTTGACGGCAAAAATGGATCTTGTGAAGAAATTCGTTTTATAGCTTTTATCATATTGGGACCAACTTTTTTAGGTCGTCCTGGTTTTCTTTTTATAGAGACATCTCCTCTCGCATTATATCTCTTTAAAATATAATGTACCGCTGATTTTCCAAGGCGTAATTGCTTAGCGATTTCCGATTGCTTCAAACCATTCTTAAAAGCATTCACTACTCGCAACTTAAGATCTGCAGACAAGTTAATTCCACGTGGCATGATATATTACAAGAGCTCAAATGTTTTTAAATCGCAATTGTTCATAAAAGCAGAACAAATGAAACTAACGATTTTTAAAAATATTTGGTTCATCTATTTTTGTCCAAGACAAAAAAGCAATATTTGCCAATTCTTATCTATAAATGATAAGACTAACAGAAGAATTTATATTTGTTTGTAGTATTTTGGTGAGAATGTATTAAACTTTTAACATACAAAGGTACATAAAATAATTTTGATATTTAACACCTCAAATCTGATTTTCTTCGCAATTATTGGTATTGGTTCATCCACTTTTGGCCAATACTGTATGTAGTTTAAATAATTTAGTTAAAATACATAGATTATACCTTTAAAATTATTTTTAGTTTTCTAATTTAATTAAATTAAATTAAAACTTATTAGGGAAGTAACTTTGACAACGCTGCTTCAGGAAGTTTAACAGTGTTGCTGCGCCGTGTTTGAGAACTTTCGTATTTTTCAAGTCATTGTTACTGTTTTTCTTTGTAAAAGAACTGTTAAACTGTTAACTTCCAAGTTTTAAATAGTTTATTACAAAAAAAACATTATTTAAAATAAAATTATACCTATATGATTTTTGTGAACTTTACAATTTGAATTCTCATTACTCATAACAGAGAAATAATTATTATATTACATTCCATTATAATATAAGTCAAAATTTAAATTAAAATTACTTTTTACATTGTTGACAGAAAACAAAACAGTACGCCACTAGTAGACCAAAAAGACAGAAATGCACTGGAAACTCAACAGCATTGCCTTATTTATGTATCCATCTCTTTTTAACTCAATAAAAGTGTTAAAGTATGTATGATTGTAAACAAATCGAGCTTTATGAATGGAGTCTTTTGCCTCCCCTTTATTTAGATGTTTTTGAATATTACAGAAAAATATCAATGACTAAAAAATACAAGGACGCACAACGCGCATATACAGGCTAGTGTAAAATCTGTGATGTTACATTATAGGACAACATTGTTTTGTTAAACAAAAGATGTGACACCAGAGACAATTTTTGAGATTCTTAACAGTTTGTTGTGTGTCATAAACTTTGCATAAAGTTTATTACAATGGTGATTTGTTAACTTTCAACTTTCAAGTGTAAAAGCCATAGGGAGAAGAGTCAGGAGTTACGTTTCACTTACAGTTTTAAATATATAGTTTCAACATTCCTTTTTAGACTTTTTTTTTATTGAATTTGATATTTATTTTTCTAATATTGTAATATTTTACATCTAATATTGTAATGTGTGCTTCATATTGGGCATAATAGTTTTGTACCTTTTGTGGACGTTCTAATACTTTCTTCTTTAAATAATTGGTATAACATTACCAGTGGCGCAACTAGAGGGGGACTAGGGGGTGCTTAGCCCCCCGTCTTCGTTATTAGCCCCCTCTGACGACGGATGCGGGTCATTTAAAATTGGATTTAAGCTCAAATTAACATCTTATATGTGACCTAAGCCCCCCTAAACGTCTGTGTCTAGTAATGTGTCTAGTGTCTAGTATCTAACCACCACCTAAAGAAGTTTCATCCACCATAAGCGTAGGCAAAACTTTTATCAAAAATATAACTAAATAAGTATAAGAACTCGTAACAGTAAGTACTAAATTAAATTTTGGAAACTTCTCAATTTAGTTGACACTTGGTCCCATTTATTAAATTAATTTTGTGAGTTAAAAACCTGAATAATCTATTTTATAGGAAAAAAGGGTGACACGTAAAAAATATTACTAAAAACCATCAAATAATAATTTAAAAAAATTGGGAAACAATTGAAGAGTGGAAATACCAAAGGGGGTAAGTGCCAAATGTTTCAATATTAAGCACTTATGACCTAAGTCATATATATAATTCTTTATATATTTTTTTTTAATTTAAACCAGGTCTCTTTGAGAAGAATGGACGCCTTCTTTCAACTAAGTCATATAGCCTTGGCGTCAGTTGGCAACAATCTGGTTTCTGTTCCTTGTATTCTTTAGTCATTAAAAAAAATATTAGTTCTAACCTGTCATTAGATAAAGAATCAGCTCCACATTGTAATACTATAACAGTAGGTTGGAAAAATTCCATAACATTAGAAATAACAGGTTTGAAGACTTGCCAGTAACTAGCATCATCAATTCCCTCTTTTAGAGGAACATTGACTGAATAATAACGACCACTTTCAGCTCCAATTTCATACATGTCTCCCGTTCCTAAACAAATATTGTAACTTATAATAATTATAACTTAATAAATAAGGTAATTATCGGAAAAACTAGAAATGATCCCTTTTTCACAAGAATCTGAACTTTTTTTGGTGGTCTCTTACCTTCTTTCAGAAAAAAAAGGAAATTTACTCTAACATTGATTTTTCTTAATTTAAGCCATATAAAGTAAACCAAAGCAAACTATACCTGGAAAGAAGTAGCTCCCATATTTGTGAAAACTAACTGTCATAACACGATCAGTTAAATAAAATGCCTCTTGAACACCATCGCCATGATGCACGTCAATATCAATATAAAGAACTCTAGGATGATATTTAAGTAATTCTAAAATCGCTATAACTATATCATTCACATAACAAAAACCTGAAGCCTCAAACTTTTTTGCATGATGAAGTCCACCTAAAATATGAAAAATATTGCATATTTCAAGGGGATACATATTTAACTTATCTCACCTGACCAATTTATAGCAATATCACAGTCATTATTGTTTAATTTCATGGCCCCTTCTAATGAAGCTCCAGTATACATTGAACAGAAGTCAAATAAGCCATAGAATACAGGACAATCATCACCCACATTGTAATGGCTTAAATGTTTTGTAAAGGAAGATATATTTTGTGGAGTAACTTTCTGTAAAAAATCTAAAAAAACAATACTTGTGTGTAAAATTAAATATTTATTTAAATTACATACCAATGTATTCATCTGAATGAAATCTGCACATGTCGTGAGCACTAGCTACATAAGGTCTATAAATCTGCATATGTTTGTGCAAACCATAATTTAAGATTAAACTATGAATAACAGACAGTCGATGGGGCTTCATGGGATGATTTGTACCGTAATGGAAGTTTCCCACATCGGGGTTAAAAAAATATGAGACTCGATGTTTCGACATGATACAAACCAACGTTAAAGTGATAAATCTGATAAGTTATACTCGAATATTTGCCTGCATATCCACACAAACACAAGAAAACAAACAACAACCAAAAGACGCTGCGACAATTTGTATTGATCGTCCATGCTAAACAGACATTTTAACTACAACCAAACTAAATACATTGACTCAAAACTTTTAGCTAAACCAAATAACACACCAAAAGCACTAAATTTAATCTCTGGTATTTAATTATTTATGAAAACGTTTAAAACAGTTCCTCCTGGTTTCCCTGCTGGTTTGATATTCTCCACAGATCACAGATTATTGATTGTTGATTTTTGGCCATTTGACAGTTATTTTGAAAACCACAGATTAGATGTGGGAACAATTACTTTGCATATATAATTAATATAATATGATTTAGGACAATAGGACAATATGTTGTTCGACATTCGAGTCCCAGCTCAAGTCCCAGCTCCCAGCTGGTCCCAGTCCCAGTCCTAGAGTCCTAGAGTTATAACCTCAAAACCTTAGGCTTAGGCATTTAAAATTTAAAAACAGCAAACAGCTGTAAACAGTTTTTAAAAGGCTTTGTAAAAGGCAAATTAAAAGGTGTCTTTTTATAGGTATCAAAAATAATGAGTGGTGGTTTAGTGCCTAGTAAGAGTACTGTTTATATTTCCAATTTGCCTTTTGATTTAAAGAACAATGATTTACATAAAATTTTCGAAAAGTATGGCAAAATAGTAAAGTAAGTTACTGTAAACTTGTCTTCATAGTTTTAAAATAAAAACCATATATATATTGTAGGGTAACAGTCTTAAAAGACAAGCAAAATAGGAGGAGTAAAGGAGTAGCGTTTGTATTATTTCTAAGTCCTGACGATGCCATGGTGTGTGTTCAAGAGGTAAACTCGAAGGAGGTAATGTGTTTGGAAATATATGTATATACCAGTTGCTTTTTACTGATGGTATTTTTTTATTTAAGATGTTTGGAAGGACATTAAAGGCTAGCATCGCAAAAGACAATGGAAGAACCAGAGAATTTATTAGAAGAAAAGTAAAGAAATTATTATTTTTACACTGAGCTTATCCAGCATGAGAAGAATATGGTACCAAACATATAATGTTTTTAAACCTGTTTTAGGAATATCCAGATAAAACAAAATGCTTTGAATGTGGCGAGGCAGGACATTTAAGTTATAGTTGTTCGAAAAATTTATTGGGTAATCGTGATCCGCCTCCTAAAAAAGTTCGCGTACGTAAGAAGAGAGAAAAATTGGAACTTACACAGGTTAACAGAGAGGTACACTAGTAAATAAGGATTTTAATTTGTTGTTTTCTTTATAGGAAGAAAAAGAATATTTTGATAGTTCTGATGAAGATAATAGAAAGATAGAGCCAGATGAAGAGAGTTTAAGTGCTGCTATTAAACTTGAGGTAAATAATTTGACTTATTTTTTCTTAAAATATTGTATAGATATTTAGCAAAACGATTTATTTTGTGGTAGCAAGAAAAACATGAATTGGAGGAATATAGGCATAAAGTTGCAACAGGTTGCTATAGTGATTCGGAGGAGAATAATTCTACCAGAAAGAAAATCAAGAAAAGTTCATATTTTAGTGATGAAGAAGAAAGTGACTAGAACACCAAAATACCTGTCAGAATATTTAAGAAAAAAGATTAAGAAAATGTATGGTTTTAGGGTTTTAAACCTTTAACACAGAATCAATCCCTTGGCTTACACAGACAGATTCTTTAGTAAGTGTTAGCTTCTTTGAAGTATCTCATTTTTTTTTTGACCTTGAAGTATCATATTGTGATATCTAAACTCACTTGTATAGTGACAAAAATGTACTGAATTTTATTGAAAGAAATTTTTAAATACACTAAGAAAAATTATTTCTTTATACAGGATTATTTACCTCATTTGACACAGACACACAGAGTATTGTAGCCAAATGATTCGATTTGTGAGTGATGGGATCATTGGAGGACTACTAAAGCTACAATTTAAAATTACTTTAAAGGTACAGAGTGTCGCAAAAAGAAAAAATATCAAAGTTTTTTTTTTAATTGGAATACCCTGTATATTATTATATGTTACTTTCTATGATTAAATAAGGGTACATTTGATTTGGTAAGGTTTATCGCACTTTAACCTTACCGTTTTTTAAATATTTACGATTTTGTGAAAGCACAGTAACAATTTTAATAGGTACTTCATTTCTCTAGACGTATTTATAAGTTTTTAAAACCAAATATTCTACTGAAGTTTTTCTATTTACTAATTTTTGTGCTGCAATAATAAAAATAATATTACCTTATACAGAGTGTCATTAATGTCAATAATGCATGTCAATATCATCCAATATTCCATGGGTATATTGATAAATGAGGTCTAAATTGTAAGAAAATGCATTTTTTATGAAAACTTGAAGAGACAGGTAAATACAGGTATAATACAGTTTGATAGACAATTAAATTGTGCATCTGATTTACTGTCCTCCATTCACACAATTGTGCAGCTCTGAACCATTCAAGAACGCAATACTCTCACTCCATTCAATTGAGTCATAAAGTTTAGAACTGTTCCGTGTCATATGGAGGCACCAGTCTATCGCGCACAGATCCTTTCAGAACCGTTCTGAGTAGCACAGGGCGTAAAGCTCTGGAACTTGAAATTCGCGAATGGAGGACAGCAATTCTCGTCAAATATACGAGGTGTTCCATTTAAATTAAACAAGTTATTACATTTTAAAGCTAGTTATTATTTAAAATAAATTTCTAGATACTCTGTATAAGATAGTATTATTTTTATTAATGCAACACAAAGTTTTGTAAATAGAAAAACTTCAGTACTATATTTGGTTTAAAAATCTTAAACACGCCTATGGAAACGAAGCATTAAAATTGTTATTGTATTTTCACAAAATCTTAAATATTTCAAAAACGGTAAGTGTAAAGTGCGGTAAACCTTAAATAAATGTAACTTTATTTTAATTGTAGAAACTAAAAATATAATGTAAAAAAAATAAAACAGATATTTTTTATTTATTTGTTACACTCTGTACCTTTTGAAAATAGTTTTAAATTGTAACTTTAGTAGTCCTCCAACGATCCCATCATTCACAATTTCTAAAAATATAATTGTGTGGCCACACTTCCGTGTCAAATGAGGTGAATAACCCTGTATTATAGCTGTTTTTTTATTGTGATGTTTTATTTTTTACTAAATTTAGTAAATAAAAATTCTAAAAGTACCAAACAATCGAAAAAAAATGGCGTCAAAGACTGCTGTGGAGTGATAATCGATGATAATTTTGGCAAGGTCAAGCCCTAGACGTCATTTACTTAGCCCGTGCTCTTCATTATTTTTTTATAACGGCGTTTACTGCTAGTTGACCTTAAAAAGGTTATAATAACGTATGATCAAATAAAAACGGCGTCAGCGATGGCTATGAAATGAAGATTGCTGTCATTTTATATGTAAAATTATATGGGAAATGTCATCGATCGTCATTTCCAAGCCAACTGGACGCAATTTTTTTTCGATCATACGGTATATTTTTGTACTGATCTACTTCATCAAAATGATTTTTTGGAAATAGATTTGTGTGTCTATTGAATTTTTTATCCTCTTTTAATCTTTCTATAATTATTAGACTTAATGTTTACAGGTTTTGTGTCAATTTTTAGTAAACAATTATCATCTATTTTCATTCGTATTATCTAAAATATGAAAATGAAGAACAATAAGTAAAAAAAATGTAATTTATTAAAAAAATATTTACATAATAATTAAATCTACATTTATCACATATAAATTGGTCCCTATTTTCTTATCCATATACACTTTCCTTTCAACAAAATTGTATATTTAGCATCATTTTCTATCAAATTTCTTTTAATTCTGGCTTTAGAATAATATTCTTCTCATTTTATTCTTCTCAATTTTGTTCTTCAAATCTTGCTTCACGTTGGGCGACAAAGAATGAGTTGAATAGTTGTGATCAACAACTGTACTGTACGCTAATTGTGGTTTAATTTTGATGGCTTTTTGACGACTAGGATCCAGGAATTTTTTGACAAAATTATTGTTGGTGTTGATACAGCCTTCTGGCGATTTTCGTTTGATTTGCATTTGTTCCTCTAGAGAGTGATTTTTTACGTGTTTTCTCAGACTACTTGGGTCGGTGTATTTTTTTAAACATCCCGTGACTTGACATGCGTAAGGTTTCTGTAACAAATAAATTATGTATTAAAGATACAGGGTATTCAAAAGAGAAATAATGTAGAAAGTATCGCATTTTCGTGTGTTTTTAGTAGTAGCACAGTGATGTGGAAACAGAATCTTTGTATCTCTATTCATAACCGAGAAACCGCATAAAACATACAAAAATGGGACACCCTGTACAAGAGTTTCCCTTGCTTCTGGGCGAGGAAAATCAAAAGAATACAATGACAGGGAAAAGAAACATCAGGCCAATGAGATTATTATTGAAAAGTTCTAGGAGGTGGACTCTGAAGCGAATAGGGATACCAGTTTATAGTAAAGACGTAGTTAAGTTGTTTATCTTGCATTTTTTTAACTTGTTTGAAAAAATTGTAAAAACTAACCACAGCAGTGTTTCCTCCATGATAATATGACAGAATACAAAAACCTAAACGACAAGTCGTTGTAATGTGGATACAACTTATAATCACTATTACTTTTTGAGCTCCCCTATATATCTAAGCCACACAATGTTAGCCAACATGATTAGAATTTCTGCGCATCTTAATTTATGCTCATTCTACCTCAATATATCTGGAATTCATATAACAAATACTTACAGTGTCAAAATGTGTTCTTTGATGTTTTGCCCTGTCTGAACTGTTAGAAAAGCATTTTGTGCAACCATTGAACTGACATAAGTAGGGTCGCTCGCCTGTATGGCTTCTTTGGTGGATTTTCAAATTCTCCAGTCGCGAAAAAGCCTTGTTGCATCCTTTAAACTGAAACAAATACAGTAAAATATAGATAAATTATTTTGAATGTGGTACACAATGATCCAGTATTGAAACTAAAAGAATTTCAAAACTCGATAACGAGTTTATACTTGATACCGGTCAGTGATCCTTCTGACCGAAACATTTTGTTAATCAAATATAAATAAAGACAGTGGAATTATTTTACTTTCAATAGATAAATTAAATTACAACAGTTTAAATATTTAAAATTAAAATAAAAATTGTTAACTCCTGGTTAAACCATAAAGCCGCACTGCCTCATAAATGGTACTTCTCCAATATTTGGTTTATATTTGCATTGGAGAGACACTTTGTAGTATCTATATTTAGGAAGACCAGTAAAACGTTCAGGAATACCTATGATCGTTTTCAAGTAGCACGAGTGCTTAAAGAAATAATACATATTTTTCGATGACTTATGGTAAGTAATTTAGTGTGGCTTGTGAATTGTAATTTAAGATGTGTATTTTTTTTCTCAAACTAGAGAATATTTCCTTATATTCCACATGGTTAACAACACCTTGTAAAGCGAGCGCTAAATTATTAATTTTGTTATTTTCATTATGTTGCTTATACAGTACCTCTGTATTGCTCAATTTGTATCAGTACGATTTAGGAAATATCCGGTTTTAAAACGGAATTTTACAGTAGAGTTCTCTAAGCATAGCATTTACTATAAATGAATTTTGGAGGTATAACATGTGGTCTGTAGATAGAATCTTTCCACAGATGCTAATTTGAGGTAAAATATGACTTAAAACTAAACTGACAATAGTAGTCGTAAAAGCCTATGGTAAAAGTACATAAAATAATGGTTCGCAAGATGGGTTTATGATGTTTATTACATTATAAGACTAAGACCAAGACTACTTTTATTAACTGCAAAACCAAGACCAAGGGAGTCTTGGTTTTGGTTTTGAATTTGCTCATCACTAAGTATAGTATTTGGTCCGTAGAAAGAAATGTTTACAAAGGTGCTGATTTGAGGTCTAAGATAATCTGCAAACTGAACTGTGAGCAGTAGTCGTAAAAGAAAATAAAAATATGTTTCGGAAGATGAGATTGTGATATTCATTACACAAGTTAAAGCGTCATGTAATGTTTTTAAACCACTCTTAAATTATGGTTAAGTATGAATATGTATGTGGTTCGAATCCCACACCCGGCATCTCATCAGCCGACTATTTTTATTAAAATAAAAATAGTTTGGGTACCTAGGTCGACTCAGCCTTAAATGAGTACTTGGGATTTACAATCCTGAGGTAATAATAGACGGTTGAAGCGTAGTGCTAACCACATTACCTTCCTTGTATACCGAACGGCTCTAGTATGGCAAGCTGTATGTACCTTGCTACTCCCAAGGCGTTAAACGCTATATACGGGAACTATTATTATTATTATGATTATGTAGATATGTTTCAGGTATGAATCAGAGGTACGATAGGAAGCCTATAGTGGAACAACTTTGACAACCGATTTCCTGGATCGTACCGTTTGCAAATAAAGGCTTTTGGAAAATTTATATTTCTGTTGAAGTACTGCTAACAAAACTCTTAAATATATAAGATCTCTCGCCAAAAAATATATAAGATATGGAAGAGATCAAACTATTTTTCAAGCTACGCCCTAATAATATTTGACATTAGTTCTCCAGTTAGCATTTATAGATGTATAAAATATATGAGAGTATAGCAAGTCTGGAAATTACAAAATTTTCGTTTAACATTTCAATTCTTCAATTTATGTACATTGTGTATTATGATTATTGTTTAAAATTAAAGGAAGAATTGAAATATGCAATAATATACAGGGGGTTTCATTTAAAAAAAAAAAAAAGTTTATTGTGACACAACTTTATGACCGGCTCTGTATACTTAAATTTACTAGTAGCTAATAGGAATTTAAAAACCCATTAACACAGCGATATTATTTAAATCGAATTGTTTAAGTGATATTTTCAAGAGTCAATAACTCGGAAACGGTTGCTTTGAGGTACATTGTGTGTCGAGGGGTGTCTCACTATTGGAATTACATGTACATTTTCTTGGCAGTCGCTGGCAGTCATTGGCAGTCTTACGGCAGTCGCCTATAATAATTACATGGCAGTCATAGGCAGTCTTCTTCGCAGGCATTGGCAGTCGCTTGGCGGTAGAGTGATATTTTGGCAGTACATGTACATTTTCTGCCCAAGTGAGACACCCCTCGTTGTGTGTATTTCGATTTTGGCTTAGAATTGAAGGAAGAATTGAAATATGTAATAATATACAGGGGGTTGTATTTAAAAAAATGAAACTTTGATGTGCCACGACTTTATGAATGACCCTATATACTTAAATTTATTACTCGTTAATAGATATTTAAAAATTTGATAACTTTTGTATTTAACTTTATCCTCCTATATTTTACCTAATAATCGATCGATTCCATACATAAAAGCGACCCTGTATAAAATGACAGCGATCTTCATTTCATAGTCATCGCTGACGCCGTTGTTTTTCAATCATACGGTATATGTAGATGCGATAAATATGTTTAGATTTTTTATGTTTATTTACTTTTTAACAAATTTGTAGAAAATTTGTAAAAAGAAAGAAAGAAAGAAAGATCATCAACAACGTTTACATAACTTTTGGGTAAATTATTGACGTTAGGGCTATGTTTCAAAAAATGTATCGCCTGTTGCGTTTTTTAGCGTCCTCTATTTTTTTATTTTCAAAGTTGGCAACCCCAGATAACAGAACTAATTGTTGGCAACCCTAGTTTAAGCTACTTCTCTACTACATTAGTATTAGAATTATTTTTGACTACAATTTCAAACAGACAATTCTTTCTTTTATTTTTAATCCAAATTTAGAGTAGCCGTTATTAAATATAAACTTATTACATCATAATTAGCAACTGAACACAAACAAGTGTGCAATTTTTTGTCTCCTTATTCATTCATATCCAAACACGTTTCGTAACTTCCGGTTTCTGTCACACGTTTCGTCCATCACAAAACAAATTGTCTGAATCGCGGAGTGAAAAAGTATCAAATTCTGGAGTCGTCTCGGGTTCATCGAATTGAACAAAATAAAACCATGAAATATGGATAAATTAAAAAGTCTTTAGAAATAGAATAGAAATATAATACGTTTGTATGCCTTATTTAAACTGGTAGCATATGTGCGTCTTAAAGGGAGTAGACATTTTGTTTTTTGTCGAGGAGCGAAGTTATTGTGCAATCCAGAGGCGGGGGGGTATCAGTAAATTAAGTAATTACTATAAAGCGTTTTATTTAATTAAATGACATTTCCGAAATTTGATTGTTATTGTTCAATTACATCCTTTATGGAACCTGTCTGCAAAGATTTATGCTCCTAGACCAAATATTAACGGATTTTATATAAACTTTTATCCATACCCCATAATTTCACCGCTTAGAGGATGAATTGACAAAAATCGCTTCTTAATTACTGGTAATTAATTACTTAATTTAGACTTGTTTCTAAAGGTCACTTAGTGCTCAGTCACTATAGACACCTTTCCAAAATTTCATACTTTTAAGAGATAGATAGTAAAGAATATTCGTACAAACTTTCACCCCTAATTTCACCACCTTAGAGGTTTAATTTCCAAAAGTCGTTTCTTAAGATCAGTTACAACACTTTTGTACACAAATTTTGTGCAATTTTTTTTACATTTAGACCAGACTTAATAATTCCTTATAGGTACTAATTTTCACCCTAATTGCACCTCTTTAGGAAATGAATTTTCAAAAAATCATACACCAGACTTAAACATGTTTTTATAAAAACTTGTACTCCTAATTTCACCCCCTTAAGACATTGCTTATTCTTCAGTCAACAGAGGCTTCATTAAGAATCTCGCAATTAGTGGAATAAATTAGTGGTTTCAATTAGCGTAGAAGTTTGTTCCTTTAATTTCAATGTAAGCATTCAGAAGTATAAGGTATAAGTATAGTATAAGTGTAATTGACTTTATACTTTTTAGTTTACGATCATTCACAATGTCTAACAAACACAATTAAAATTAACAGAATAACCTAGCAATATCTTGCGAGAGTCAGTTGTATCCACAGACAAAGTCTAATTTTTAGCTTACAAAACAGTCAACTTTTGATTTCTATCCACAATTTATCTTGACGGTAGATAATCAAAGGCCAAAATGACCAAATTTTGAAGTATAATTAGTGGAAAAGTTAAAAGTTTGACAACTTTTTCTACTAATTGAAAATGTCTACCACTAATTTTGACGTTCTGAATGCTTACATTGAAATTAATGGAACAAACTTCTACACTAATTGAAACCACTAATTGCGAGGTTCTAAATGAAGCTTAACTTTTTCTACTAATTGAAAATTACTACCACTAATTTTGATGTTCTGAATGCTTACATTGAAATTAAAGGAACAAACCTCTACCCTAATTGACACCACTAATTTATTCCATTAATTTCGACTTTCTGAATAAAGCTTTAGTACTCACTTTTGGTACCTACGTCACTTAAGAAACATTTGTGCTAAATTGTGCTATTACAGCTTAAATGACTTAAATAGCTAGATTACAAACTAGTTAGTTACTTAAAGTGTAAAATATTATATTTGGTTAGGTTAATGTCATGCTTTTTTAATATTCTTTTAATATTAATCAACCATTTTAGTTAGTTTGTATAATAATTATTTATAATTTGGCTAATATGATAATTCCATTAGTTTTATTCAGCCAAAATCTGCCAAAATATCAAGATTCCTAGCTAGTTAATAAACCAAGAGAATATGTACTGAGGTCATTTCTTTATTTTCTACAGGTTTTTTTGTGCCTGTGAGTGTATTTATGTGGTTTTTATCAAGTTTTTCTCTATATTTCATTTTTTTTGGAAACTACTTATACAGACTTCTTTATAACATCGCCGCAAATATAATTATTGTTAATATATTGATATTGTTATTATATTCCAAAGAAACTTTAGGGAATGTGGAACAA